TATTGACTCGGACTGCAGAGATGGTATTTATATGTTATAAAGTTGGAATATTTGCAAAAATATTACCAATAAACTGTTGTAGTAGTGGATGACGCGAAAGTCAGATATTTCTTAAATTGGAAATATGTTAAAATCCAAATTTTATAATCTTTAAACTATACAATTTATGAACCAATTAAAGATTCTCTAAATTTTACATATGATATGAAGTCTAATCCGTGCATTTTATTTTTTTTTAAAAGTATTTTTAGTTCGCCCAATATCGGGTGATTTTGAATTACGTGATTAAAATCAAAGATTTAAACCCTTTTAACCTTTGTAGTATGTAAGTGCAACAAAGTATATACGATAATAGTTTACTTTTTTTTCGAAAACAAATTCATAATTTTTTGCGAAGTAAACAATTTTCCTATGTTGCCACGTGGGTATACCAAATTAGATGAAACCTTAGACATCCAACTATACGTTACTCCCGTAATGGGATTGGATTTGTTGCGATAGATAATCAAAAATAACAAGCGAATTAGTTTTTTCACAGCATTAATTCGAAATAGTTTATGCTAATATCTTCATTTTTTGCAAAATATGTCGTTATTAATAAAAGTAGACCCTTTAAATTTACTTGATACGAATTGTAAGCATAAGTTTTTATTAAAAAATAATAACAGGTGTTATAAAATCCCAATACTAACAAAACATATAGCAACTAAATAGAGTTCTTCTTTACTAGTAAAATTAAAATAATAATAATAATAACAACAATATTTAGCATTAAAAAATGGCCATCAGCTCACGTTATCACATACGTAAATTCTCAATTGTGATTGGATAAAAAAAAAAACTGTCGAAATTCAAAAAAGGAGATTTTAATATGGCCCATCTCTGTGTCACTTCATTTAAATTCAGTATATATAAAATTTAATTTATTTATTTTTAACATTCAAGCGTTTTATTTATTTTTATTTAATTTGGTTCTAAATTTAGAATTCTGATCCAATATATGATTGTGGGGTTAAAATATTTTCTATGGAGATCTACTTCAGTAATTGTATATTATCAATGACTTGGTTTTATTATGAAAGTTTCAGAAGTATATAAATATGGACATGTTAAATAAGGTATATATCCTAAATTGGGATATGCACCATCGATAAAGAAAATTTTTGCATGCGACGATTAAAAAAAAGAATCCAGAAAATAATATTTCACGCGTGTTCAAATCAAAAAGAAATGCGACTTTATTGTTGCTCAACTTTTTCATGATTTATGTAGAATTATTAGTATTAATAATAGTGTACTTTAAAACCTGAATTCAATTTATAGTTAAATATAATTTGAAAAATAAACTTGACCTTTTCAGGTACTCTTTGTTATAAATTAAATAATACAGTAACATAATGAATTAATTTTGGGGTTGGGGTAAAGAATTATATTTATATAATTTATATAATTTATATGACTTTCTATTTTTATTATTTAAGCGACCCACTTTTGATATTGATGTTGGGGAGGTTGGGGAGGTTGATAAGGTTGAGGCGGCGTAAGATTTTTGTCCTTTTTCTTTGCAAATTTTTTAAAACCTATACAAAGAGCCGCAATTATTAAAATACATACTCCTATACTACCTACACAAATAGCAACAATTATTCCAATTGTTTTAGAACCAAATCCATCACCACCTCCAGTATTAGTAGTAGAATTAATTGAACCTGATGTACTATTAGGTTTATCAGGAGTCGTCGTTGTTGGTGATTTATATGTATATGAAGAAATCCATTCATAATTATCTACGTCAAGAATATATATTTGAGAAGTTGGGCCAGTTGGATCAAAAACTGTGCTAGTAAGATTTCCTAAAAATAAATAAATAAATATTAATAATAAGTATAAAATAAAAATATAAAAATAAATAATAAAAATTAAATAATAAAAATATATACCAAATGCAATTATCATGTATTTATCATATATATCTGCACTATGATAAGTTACGGGTTCTGGCTCTGGAGAACCTGAAGTTGTTGGAGAAGTCCATTTATACGTATTTGTGTCCAATACAATAAGGACAGGTGAGGGTGTGAATCCGTTAAAATTTTGACCACCATAAACTATTATTCTTCCGTCCGAAGCTATTATTATAAATTGTAAATAATAAATAAATAAATAACAAATTATAATAACTTTTTTTTGGTGTAAAAATAAATATAAAAATATATTTACTTAAAGCCGCGGAATGTCCATAACGGGTTTCGAGGTTTGAAGTACCACTTGCAGTCTAT